AGTCACCCCTCCTAACCAAAAGGGTCTCAGGGACCCTGCCCCAGGGTTCCTCCAAGCATAGAGAAGCACCATTATGTCAGCAAGGGACCGAGACAGGTGATCAGCCAGGAAAGATGCCCGGAGATGAGAATGCCACCCCTGCCTTCCACCCCCTGGTGACTTCAGTAAAAGCTGTCATACGTGCCAAGGAAAGGGTGATCCAAAGCAACGTCACTCCCTGACGCCCTCAAAATCCTAAAGAGAACAAGAGTGACCCTGGATGTTCTGCCTGACAGCAGAGGGGTACCATCTGACTTCCCTGGCACTGCCACGGCCAAGCAGTTACAGAAGAATAGCAGGCTGGGCATGGTGGCTCAAGCCTATTAATCCCAACACTTTGGGAGGCTGAGGCGAGTGGATCACCTGAAGTCAGGAGTTCCAGACCAGCCTGACCAACAAGGTAAAACCCCATCTCTACTAAAAATGCAAAATTAGCTGGGTGTGGTGGTGGGTGCCTGTAATTCCAGCTACTCAGGAAGCTGAGGCAGGAGAATGGCTTGAACCTGGGGGGAGGAAGTTGCAGTAAGCTGCGATGGTCCTACTGCACTCCAGCCTGGGTGACAGAGCAAGACTCCGTCTCAAAAAAAACAAAACAAAACAAAAATTAGCCAGGCATGGTGACAGGTGCCTGCCATCCCAGCTACTCGGGAGGCTGAGGAACAAGAATTGCTTGAACCCGCGAGGCAGAGGCTGCAGTGAGCCGAGATCGTGCCACTGCACTCCCACCTGGGCAAGACAGCAAGACTCCATCTCGAATATGGGAGGACACAGTTCAGCTCCTAACAGGCACCGCTGAAGAAAAGTGACTGTTTTGGTGGCCGACTTGCTTCTCCACGTGGGCGCGTTTACAGCCCAGCACAGCTGTCAAGTCCTGAAGGTGCAGCAGGGGAAGCTGGCTCTGGGCGCGACTGGCCAGAAGGCCCTCAGTGTGGAGAATCGAGATTGCGCAGGTCCCAGAGCTACACAATGTCGTGCATTTTGGAGGAGGGCCCCTCCAGAAGCCCCCGAGTGTTTATGAGTACTGACCGTGGGCTGGGCACCATCTGACCACCCTACACACACAGTCATCCCGTCCTCATGCCTTGCTGATGTCGTAAACAGCATCTCCCACATAAAGACTCCTCGCCCAGGGTCCCACAGCTAGGACCAGGCAGAGCTAGGATCCGGAACCAGGGGATCCAGTTTCCGGAGCCACAGAGCCCCTGCCCTGCGCCGACGCACCATTGAGGCAGGATTCATTTTCCCCACTTTACTGGAAACTTTGTTGGAAGTGGCCACAGCAGCTTCAGAGGAAGTAAGCAACATGACAAACACAAGAGCCTTAAATCCATCCTTCTAAGCCATCCCTCCAGCTCCTGGGCACATGCTTTGTGCCAGCAGATCTAGAATGGGGGCAAAGGCTGGGCCATCTATCGTGTGCTGAGCCCTTGAAGTGTGTGACAGGTCAGAACTGACACGTGCTCTAAGTGTCAAATAGAGTTTCAAAGGCCTTAGTACCCGAAAAAAATGTGAGATGCCCTGTTAATAATTTTCTATTAATTGTAAGTTGAGACGTCTTGAATATATTGGGTTAAAATATTAAAATTAATTTCAGCTGGGCATGGTGGCACCTGCCTGTAATCCCAGCACTTTGGGAGGCCAAGGCAGGCAGAGCACTGGAGCCTAAGAGTTTGAGACCACCCTGGGCAATGTGGCAAAACCCCACCTCTACAAAAAATACAAAAATTAGCCAGACGTGGTGGCGCACACCTGTGGTCCCAGCCAGTCAGGAAGCTGAGATAGGAGGATCACCTGAGCCTGGGGTGGTGGAAGTCGCAGTGAGCTGAGATCGCGCCACTGCACTCCAGCCTGGGCACAGAGCAAGACTCTGCCTCAAAAAAAAACAAAACAAGAAAAAAAAGAAAGAAAACAAAGAAAAGAAAAATTAATTTTACCAGTTTCTTTTTACTCTTTGACATGGATACCAGAAAACTTCTCATCACCCACGGGGCTCACATTCTTTTTCTTTTCTTTTTTCTTTTTCTTTTTTCACTGCCCACCTCCCTGCATTCTTTAGACCACTCTGGGCCACGGAGTTCCCATTTTAACCACTCTAAAAAAAAACACTGAAGAAAGAAATTGTAGGATTGTGCTCACAGAAACCGTTTTCTTTTTTACCAGAATATCCAGCGTTGGTGTATGGTTTCCTGTAAAGCATTCCGCACACTCAAACTTCTATGCATAAGACACAAATTCCAAAGGCCTTCGGATGCTTTGACGCTTACGCGTCAAACAGAACTAGAAAAGCCACGACACGGAAGCAAGCTTGCCTTGCCTCCGGAAGGCGCCAGCTGCTCTCCTGATGAATGCAGGCATTCAGCCTCCTGGATCCGCTGCGGATGCCTCTATTCTGGGCTTCTCCCATATGATTAGGAGGCTGTTCCTACTCTGCACTTTTTCATTCCAAGCTGCTGCGATTTTCTGCAATCAGGTTTGTTTCTCCAGGGTTCAGTGGGTGGGGATGAAAACATGGAGAGTTTAACAATCCGGGCAGGTGGTGGATACGGAAGCTAAGAGGATCGCATGCAGTGGCTGCACCTGGGGGAGGGGGCGTTAGCTCAACTGAGTCCCAGGAGGGGCCATGAGTAGCCCCGGGGGCTGCCAAGTGAACAATGAATGTCCTCTCAACTGGCTCTGCTGACACCTCTGATTCTTTGAGCAGTGAGGTGGCTGAGTTGGCCTAGGGTCTTTTAAAGTTTGAACTCAATAAATTAAGGCTGAAGACGTTTCCCAATGGCCTGGGGTGTCAACAGGTATGAACCAGTGTGCCCAGCATGGCCAGTGGACCTCACTCCCCCATCACTGATCAGTAAAATGGGGGTGTCAAGGATGGATGGGAGGTGCTGAGAGATGCCGCACGTGACAGGGCTGTGGTAGAACAGTTTCCCCTGGCTGCTGCAACAAACCGCTACAGACTGGGTGGTTCACAACACAAGTGCATCCACTTGCAGTTCTGGAGGCCAGAAGTGTGAAATCACGGTATCGGCAGGGCCACACTCCTGTTGAAAGTTCCAGGGAGGATCCTGCCTCGCCTCTTCCAGCTTCTGGTGGCCCAGGTGTTCCCTGGCCTGTGGCTCTGTCCCCCGAGTACCTGTCTCTCACTCCACATGGCCGTCTTCCCCCTATGTTTCTTGGTGCTTCTGTGTCCACATTTCCCACTTCTTTTTTTATTTTGAGGCAGGGTCTTGGCTCTGTCGCCCAGGCTGGAGTGCAGTGGTGCGATCTCAGCTCACGGTAACCTCCCCGTCCCGAGTTCAAGCGATTCTCCTGCCTCAGCCTCCTGAGTAACTGGGATTACAGGTGCGCAGCACCACACCCAGCTAATTCTTGTATTTTTAGTAGAGACGGGGTTTCACCATGTTGGCCAGGATGGTCTCAATCTCCTAACCTTGTGATCCACCCGCCTCAGCCTCCCAAAGTGCTGGGATCACAAGCATGAGCCACTGCGCCTGGCAATTTTCCACTTCTTATAAGGACATCAATCATAGATGAGGGTCCACCCTAATCCAAGACGATCTCCCTTCACTCAATTACATCTGCAGACCCTATTCCCAAACAAGGGCTGACTCACAGGTCCAGGGGTTAGGACTGGAACACATATTTGTGGGGAGCACATTTCAGCCCACATGACTGGCTCTCTTCCCAGCTGTAAGCATGTGACTAGCACTGCACTGTCAAACTGTGCTACCCTCCTCCCCTAACCCACAGAAGCACCAGCTCCCCTGGCCATTCTCGCCCCATGCAGTGGGTCTGGTGGACAGACCTGTGCAGCATCGGATGACACCTGCTCCCAGCCTGCCTTCCCGGATGGCGGAAGCTGGAGAGCTAAGAACTGCATTAGCCTGACTCCCTCGCACCTAAGGGCTGCACAGAAATGAAGTTCCACCTTGCAGTTCCCCCACCACATATACGACTTTGAAAATTAAGTAAAGTGTTGCCACCGATATGCATGGTTCCAGAAACGGCAAGAGTCCCAGCAGCCACGTGCAAAGTCTACTTGTTGTGGTAGCAACAGTGGCCTCCTGGTGCTCGAGTTATACTACACTGTGTGACCCTGAACTCAATGGTTTCACCAGCTGCAACCCTGGACGGCCAGTTTGGCAGCGTCTGAGGCCATCCATCTCTCCCTCAGCCCTTCTGATTATTCTGTGAGTGTCTCCGTCTCCACGGAATCCTCTTCTACCTAAATAAGTTTCTTTTAAGGATCCTGGTAAACCACAGACCCTACCTCTGGTCCATGTGTTTTGTCTAAGGACACACAAGTTGGCGCTACCCAGTTGGACCTTATCCTAACTGGCATCTGAGAAGCCTCAGCTTTGATGGGCCATTTGTTTTTTATTTTTACTATTATTAGAGAGGAGTCTTGTTCTGTCGCCCAGGTGCTGGAGTACAGTGGCACGATCTCTGCTCACCACAACCTCTACCTCCCGGGTTCAAGCGATTCTCCTGCCTTAGCCTCCTGAGTACCTGGGATTACAGGCGTGCACCACCACACCTGGCTAACTTTTGTTATTTTTAATAGAGATGGGGTTTCACCATGTTGGTCAGGCTGGTCTTGAACCCCTGACCTTGTGATCTGCCTGCCTCAGGCTCCCAAAGAGCTGGGATTACAGGTGTGAGCCACCACACCTGGCCATGCACTTTTTTTGTAGAGATGGGATCTCACTGTGTTGCCCAGGCTGGTCTTGAATTCTTGGGTTCAAGCAATCCTCCTACTTAGGCCTCCCAAAGTCCTGGAATTACAGGCATAAGCCACCATGCCTGGCCTACATATGAAACTACTAAAATAAAAAGCGTTCACTCATATCCTCACTGACCCAGCCCTCCCCCCACCTTCCCAGGTATTACTGTGAGTACCAGTTCCACCCTTTGAGAACCACCAAAATAAAATGACGTTACATGAATGCCACCTCCGCACCTACCGTCAAGTCCAAGAACATGCAAGAGCTCTGTCCAGAGTTTCCACAGTGTCTCCACGAACATATCCACTCCTAGCACGAACCTCTCGGTCAGCCTGCTCAAGAACTGCAAAAACAAGAAAACGGTCACCACCCAGTTACCCACCACGCCACTGCGTTCCTCCATTAGTCAAGCAGGGAACCCGGAGCTCGGGAGTTTATGCCTGGGAAGGGGAAACTAGCAAGCCCATGATGAACGCCACATGAGTGGTCTGCTGGTCCAGGGGACTGACCCGAACTGGGTACTGACCACAGCCCAACTGAGAAAAACTGGTCAGAACAACCCCTTCCTTGGAAGGGCTGACCAAGGCATCTGAGGAGGCCGGGACACTCTGCAGGCTGCATTGTGCCACCTGCCATTGCTCCTGCTATCTTTCATGCTCCCTCTTTATTCAGGGTCTCTGCTTTCCTCTGCCTGGTTTCTCTGAAGAGATGGGGTCTTGCTGTTGCCCAGGTTGGGGTGCAGTGATGCGATGACAGCTCGCTGCGGCCTCCAAGTCCTGGGCTCAAGCAATCCCGCCTCAGCTTCCCAAGTAGCTACAGGTGCAGCCAACACACCAGGCTTTATTATTACTATTATTGTGTAGAGACGGGGTCTTGTCATGTTGCCCAGGCTGGTCTCCAACTCTAAGCCTCAACTGATCCTCCTGCCTGGGATTACAGGCGTGAACCCCTGCACCACACCCTGCGGGCCTCATTTTTAAAGCGTGGACGTTTCTGTTTCTAGGAAGCTGGTAATGACAGAGCCCCATGCTCTAGCCCAGTTTAAGGACCCGAGGCCTCTGAGGTCTTTATTTGGCCTCCAGGTGACTCTGCAGAACCATAGGGCTAAAGAAACATGAAAACAAGGTGCAGCCCCATTTTAACTTTTTTTGTATGTGTTTTTTTTTTTGAGACAGAGTCTTGCTCTGTCACCCAGGCTGGAGTACAGTGGCGCAATCTCAGCTCACTGCAGCCTCCACCTCGCACGTTTAAGCGATTCTTTTGCCTCACCTTCCTGAGTAGCTGGGATTGCAGGCATGCACCACCACGCCTGTCTAATTTTTGTATTTTTAGTAGAGACAGTGTTTCACCATGTTGGCCAGGCTGGTCTCGAACTCCTGACCTCAGGTGATCCACCTGCCAGGCCTACCAAAGTGCTGGGATTACAGGCATGACCCACCACACTCAGCTGATGTCCAGTATTCTAACAGAAGCATAGACTCCAAGATGACCTGTGAGGACACCAACATTTTAGCCCTAAAAAATAGTATAGAGGCTTGGCATGGTGGCTAACGCCTATAATCCCAGCACTTTGGAAGGCTGAGGTGGGAGGACTGCTTAAGCCCAGGAGTTGGAGACCAGTCTGGGCAACAAAATGAAAACCCAACTCTAATTTACCTTAAAAGAACATTTTAGGCCAGGCGTGGTAGGGCTCACGCCTGTAATCCCAGCACTTTGGGAGGCCAAGGCGAGCAGATCACCTGAGGCCAGGAGTTCAAGACCAGCCTGGCCAACACGGTGAAACCCTGTCTCTACAAAAAATGTAAACATTAGCTGGGCGTGGTGGTGCACACCTGTAATCCCAGCTACGTGGGAGGCTGAGGCAGGAGAATCGCTTTAACCCAGGAGGCAGAGGTTGCAGTGAGCTGAGTTTGTGCCACTACACTCCAGCCTGGGCGATGGAGGGAGACTCCATCTAAAATAGAAAAAAAAAGATTCTCGTATGAGCATGCACCCTATCGTGAAGGATCTAGGTTGCCTGCTCCTTATGAGAACCTAAGGCCTAATGATGTGTCACTGTCTCCCAACAGCCCCAGATGGAACAGTCTACTTCCAGGAAAACAGGCTCAGTGCTCCCACGGATTCTACATTAAGGTGAGTTGTATCGTAATTTCATTCTGTATTACAATGTAACGATAATGGAAGTCAAGTACCCATAAACTCATGTGCTCAAATCATCCTGAAACCATCGACGCGCCCGGTCTGTGGAAAAGCTCTCTTCCACAAAACCAGTCCCTGCTGCCAACAAGGTTGAGGACCGCTGCGTTAGAGAGAAGGGAAGCTGACTGCCCCTCCCTTGGGTGGGGGTAGGCGGGGGGGATCTGGGAGGAGGGCCTGCAGAAGACCAGCATGAATCAGAACCACAACCGTGAAGGGGTATTCCAGAGACTCCAAGTCACAGTACACATCCCTGCTCGGTGGTTCTGAGGGCGGTGGTGTCCGGACTGGCAGGAGCACGTCACCCAGGAGCTTCCAGAACTGCAGACTCCCAGTCCCTGCCTCAGGCTCTCCAGGGATGGGGCCCAGCCATCTGTCTCTACAGCCCTCCTGGTAGCACCGGTCACCTCAGCACTCGAGGCTGAGGACCATGACTGAGAGGCAGGTGCACGTTACTTCATAGCACCGCTACACTGAAAAGCTGCCAGCAGGCCAGACATACGAGGTAATGGGAGGGACACGTCAGACAGCGACCTCCTCACAGAATGGAGCACGATTCCACAGCAACGGAAAACAACGACGGACAGAGCCAGCAACAAACAGCAGCAAATGATACTAGGAAAGAAACAGATCTCAAGTTGAGCGATGAAGCAAAAAAAAAATAAAAGTAGTGGTAGATCACAGAATGTATGCTTTTTTTTTTTTTTTTTTTTGGAGACAGGGTCTTGCTCTGTTGCCCAGCCTGGAGTACAGTAGGGCAATTATGGCTTATTCAAACTCTTGGGCTCAAGCAATCCTCCTGCCTCAGTCCCCCACGTAGCTAGATCATGCCCAGCTCTTCCTGCTACAATCCTCTCTTTTCTGAGACAGTCTTGCTTTGTCCCCTGGGCTGCAGTGCACCAGCGCCATCTCAGCTCACCACAACCTCTACTTCCCAGGTTCAAGCAATTCCCCTGCCTCAGCCTCTGAGTAACTGGAACTATAGACACACGCCACCACGCCGGGCTAGTTTTTGTATTTTTAGTAGAGACAGGGTTTCATCATGTTGGCCAGACTGGTCTCAAACTCCTGACCTCAAGTGGTCCGCCCGCCTCAGCCTCCCAAAGTGCTAGGATTACAGGTGTGAGCCACGGCACCCAGCCTGCAATTCTTTCAAGTGTGTGTGACTTGTACACGCTTGTCAATATATAGCAATTTTGGGGGGGAACAGAGTCTCTGTCGCCCAAGCTAGAGTACACTGGCAAGATCTCAGCTCACTGCAAGCTCCATCTTCTATGTTCAAGCAGTTCTCCTGCCTCAGACTCCCAAAGAGCTGGGATTACAGGCACATGCCACCACGCCCAGCTAACTCTTGTATTTTTAGTAGAGACAGGGTTTTGTCATCTTGGCCATGCTGACTTTGAACCCCTGACCTCAGGTGATCCACCCACCTTGACCTTCCAAACTGCTGGGATTACATGCATGAGCCACCGCACCCAGACAATATATAGCAATTTCTATAATTTGTTCAAACAGAGGGGAAAACAAAGGCTTGAGAAAAGAATAGCGGGCCTTTAAAATGGCACCAAGTGCCCTGGCAAGGGTGTGCGGAAGCAGTTACTTTTGGAGGAACAGACATTCCTGCTCACGCTGTCGAACCTTTCTGTGCCTCAGTTTTCTCCCCTGTAAAACGAGACCGAGAGAGGATTCAAGAACAGAACCTGTAAAGACCTCCCCGGTGACCAGTGCACGGCAGGCACCCAGCGCGTCGGAGTGGCTGAGGTTCTGCTCGTTGGATTCATGGGCTGCAGGGCGGCAACCTGGAACTCCTGCAAGCTGAGTGGTCACCTCCCACGTAACACAAGCTGACAGGCAGGTGCTCTGAAACCTGCCGTGCCTGAGACGCTGGCATGCTCAAGCAGCTCCTGGCAATGTGGAGAAAAGTGCGGGTCAGAGGTTCTTTCTCACGGTGGAAAGAACAGCACCTCTCCCCTGCTGAAAACCGGCCCGGGGCAAGAGAGGGTGAATCGGGGAGGATCCTGTCACTTGCATCTGGCTGGAGAACTTGCCGTTCATGCAGGGCCGGCTCTGCCTGCTCTGGTGTGTGACACCCTGACCCACTTTGTGTGGATGTAGACACGGGAGCCCTAAGGGGAATAATATGGGCTGAGCGGTGTCCCCCAAAAGGCTTATGTGGAAGCCCTAAGGCCCAGGACCTCACAGTATGGCTGTATTTGGAGACAGAGTACAGAGGTGATTAGGTTGAAATGAGATCTTTGGGGTGGGTGCTAATCCAATGTGACTGGCGTCCTTATGCAAGTAGGAGATTAGGACCCAGATGTACAGAGGAAAGACCACTCGAAGACACAGTCTAGGAGAGGGCGGCCATCTGCACGCCAGGATGAGGGGTCTCAGGAGAAACCAGCCCTGGCACTTTGAGCTCAATTTCCAGCCTCCAGAATGGAGAGAAAATGTATGTCTGCCATTTAGGCCCCTGGGCTGTGGTGCACACAGATACAGGAGCTTACAGCGAAGCTCCGAGCCTGGGAGCGCTTCCATCAGAAATCAGAGGAAAAGGCAAGCCTCAATCGTATCAGGCCTCTATACCTTTTTTTTTTTTTTTCGGAACACTCTTGCTCTGTCACTCAGGCTGGAGTGCAGTGGCGTGACCTCTGCTCACTGCAACCTCTGCTCCCCACCCCATGAGTTCAAGCAATTCTCCTGCCTCAGCCTCCTGAGTAGCTGGAATTACAGGCATGGCCACCGCACCCGGCTAATTTTTTGTATTTTTAGTAGAGACAGGGTTTCAACCATGTTGGCCAGACTGATCTTAAACTCCTGACCTCAAGTGATCTGCCCACCTCGGACTCCCAAACTGCTGGGATTACAGGTGTGAGCCACCATGCCTGGCCAGGTCTCTAGATCTAACCACTGGTTCTTGGGGATATGGGGAATGGGGCACAGGAAAACACCACCATGAGGATGCACCCGGCCAGATGCAGATAGGGGATGAGACCCAGCTTCTCCATCAAATAACATGACAGCCAAGAAAAAGCACTAGGTGGGGGCATTAAAATTAAAAGCGACTTAAATCATGATGATTTGCTGCACACTGGATGTGATAGGATGAAAATGGTCCTTAATTCTGTGTCTTCCTCCCAAAACCCA